ATCCAGGATCGTAACTCTATCTGTATCAGCCGCCATCTTGGTGCTCCCAGCAACCAGAGAGGACAGAAGAAGGTTTCTCACCAGCGCCACTGAATGCGGCGTCGGGCCTGGAATCTCCCGACATCTCGGCCTCCTCCTCCCGCTGAGCAGCATCTCTGCAGCTTCTCTTCTCTCTGGCTTTAACTCTCAGTCCCAACTCAACAGTTCTCACAGTGGACCGACTCCGGTTACCTTGGTTACGGTAAAACAAGGGCGAGCTGACGTCAGACGCTCGGAGGCACAAGACGTCATTAAACTGAAATAAACAACAGAGCTGATATTTTTCAATTGATCAGATCAAGCTGTGCAGTAATGGAAGTTTACCATATTTACCATATTTAAATATAAAAACAGAAATAAATAAATTCCCAATAAATAAACATACAATTAATTGCCCCCAAAATATAATAAACAAATAAATGTAGGTAAAAATTAAATTATACAGAGATGCATAGCCTAAATGTATTTATCTCTTTTAACTAGTTTCTTTATTTATTTGCCTTTGCAATAATTACCTTATTTATTTATTCGGAACAGCAAACTGCTTAAACATCAGGCTGTCATATATGGAGGACCAACTCTGCCATATTTAAAAATAAATACAGAAATAAATAAATGCTCAATAAATAAATAAGCATACAATTAATTGCCACCAAAAATACAATAAACAAATAAATGTAAGCAGAAATTAAATTATACAGTGAGACATAAATGCATATAACTGTTTTAATTAGCTTCTTTATTTATTTGCCTTTGTAATATTTACCTTATTATTTATTCTGAACAGGAAACTGCTTTAACATCATGTTTTCCCACCGCTAGATGGAGCTGTTCTTCCAGTTCTAGCTTTGAAAGTCAGTGGATTATCCTCCTGTTTGAACTTCTGGTTTCAGTGACTCCCCTCATTTTCCACCAGGGGGAGACAAATCCCCACAAATCATTGGATCTGGTGTTAAAGGAAAAAAAAAAAACTTCTGAAAGTCTTTAAACGCAGCGGGTGAAATCCTATATTTTAGGCTACTGGTTGTTTTTCCTGCAAGGCTTTGGTTTTACGTGCGCTCAATAAAAATTATAATGCCAATCTTTAGTTTGACTTAAAATAAAGTCATTTAATATAACAACAATGCTTATAGTTTTACTATTTGGCTTTTACATAAATACAGAAATTCGACATTGATCTGAAAATCAATGAAAACTGTTGCCTCCTCTCATTATGAACAGCTGAACAGAATCATGGTTGACCTTAAATAACCCCATCCCCCATCACTCAAAATGAAATGCGCCCCCTCGTGGCCATAAACACAGGAAAGGACAAATGGCTCCTACAAGTCACTAGATATAACAATTATCAAACTTAAATTTAAGTAGTCGCAAATAAATGTATGATATAAATAACTAGCAAATAAGGTTTATGCATTCATTATCCTGTTTTTAAAGTTAGTTCTATGTTACACGGTTTCCTTTTGTTTCATGTAATTATATTTAGTCTACAGAGGACTTTTGTCGCTCAGTGTCAATATGTGTGCTG